GATGGTCGTTTACGGTTCCTAGCTGCTGTAGTCTGTTATACAGCAGAGATTATAAGACCAAGGCTGTCACAGGTCAGGGTGGTTTATATTTCACGGTGGTTTGGGTGTGTAAAGAATATTATCTACAGTACGTAGTTAACTGTGACACTTTAGGTTGTCTGTGACTGACTTTTAGTGTGCACTTTAAAGAACACTGCACACTGATAACGGTAAGACCAGTCCTCCACCTTGAAGGGTGCCAAAGTGTACATCTTGTAACCCCGAAACACTGCTGTAATACCTGATATATTGGTAGTATTTTCCCAAGAATTAATTCCTTGGTCGTCGTGAGTTTGATTTATGATTATCTATTCCTTTCACAGCAAGAAAATCAGAATCAGAGAGATAATACAACACCAGGATACAAATCCACATACTTTATCACCTACAGTAACGGATGAACTGACAGTCAGATAACACACACACATACATACACACACACATACACAGGGTGAGCTGCCACCACACTAGGAAGCTCACCCAGGGAGGCAGATTAATCAATTCCCAGCGGAGGAGTGGCGGACACGGCCCGCACACTCCCTCACCCTTCACCACCAATCAAAATCACATTGTTTATTCACAAGTATAGATTTACGTATAATAAAGAGGTACAAGATTTACTAGATTTAGACATGAGCCTTACACACATCACGCCATACATTTTGGTATACAGTATAAATATGAGTAATTTCATTATATATATAAATAATTAATTCCTAAATTTAAATATAAATAAATGTTAATTAATTCCCAGTTTTAAATAGCAATATATGAAGAGTAATACACTGATATTATATGTGTGCGTGTGTGTATTACATGTTTATCTCCTTGGCACACACAAGTAGCATGAGGCTGACACTCCCTCAGGTCTCTTGCTGCCACATCTATCCACCTTAATCTTGGCCTTCCCCGGGACGTTCTCCCTCGCATCTACGGCCTCAGCACTTCTCTGGGTCCTCTCCTGTCTCCCATCCTCACCACCCACGATAAACCTCGCTGTATTTAAAACAAGGCTGACTGGCGACTATTCAAGCCTGGTCCATATGTCGTCATGTTTTACAAACTCGTCCCACCTCATCTCTCTCTCTCTCCACACACACACACACGCATTACCTAAAGAGCTTCTCCGTGTTCATAAAGGCTAACTGAAGTAGTGTCTGCGGAGTGGTAACACAACACGTGATGAGGGAGTTTGTTATCTATCTCGCTAATCTATCAACCACAATCTACTCCACATTCAGCTGTACAGTATTGGCAATAATAATGTACACTACAGTATACAACTACAGGCTACTGTTGTTGTAATACAGTAATGTTGGTATTGTTGTTGTTGGTGATGTGCGTCAAATACCAGTACAATACTAAGATAAACAAATCATACAGTATAGTATAGTGACTGCCAGGACAGTGAGGCTCACAAACTCAAATTATGGAAATGGGAGTTAATTAAAGTAGTCAAGGTATGATAATGGATGGTTGTAGGTCACCCTTAACAGTCACACCCACAGCACACCAACGCCAAATTATCTCGCAGGCGAGAATATTCCAAATTGCGTTGTTAAGCCTAATAAAGCTGTATGATGATCACGGTAAACCTTTGTCGCTGTGAACTATCTCTCAGAAGTAAAATCTATTACCATTCATGTTTATTGCTAACCAAAACAGCCACAAAGCCACACAATCTCATTGCCATGAATGGCATTGTGATTATTTTCTAAAAATCATATAACCGTTGCAGGATTATGTCTTATCAAGTGTTGAAACAATAGTGATAATAGTTGAAGACTCACCGTCCCGGGGCCGACAGTGGTAGTGAGCTTCTTTACTACACCACCAACCAGCCGACTGATAATGCTCTCCCCACATTTTACGGTGGGTGTCAGGCGGCGCGGCGGCCTACATCACCGAGTCAACGCCGCACACAACGAAGGGAAATGTGATTATTTACATAGTAGTCTGTCGATGACCTATAAATAACCTTTTCAGCTACACAACTGGGTGGGTTTATATACCAGTACTGTCGTCACACACACACACACACACACACACACACACACACACACGCACTGTTGTCTGCCACACTATAAGCTGCCAAGTTCAGGTTGACATAAGACACACTGACACAAAAATAAATATATATCAATGCGGATAATAAAAAAAAATATCGATTGCAATAAAAATTTGTATAAAGGCTCCTACAGCTGGGCTTCAATACATAATAGTATAGAATATATCACAGGCACACAGAAGTTGTTCACACTGATGACAATTTATGGTGATAAGATGATTTACATTTTAACTGTCAGAGAGTCTAGATAGTGTACAGTGCAACAACCTTCAGACTGTTTCATCACCTCTTTCATGCCGTTAAAATCTAAATAATACCAGAGTGCAGAAAGGAAACACACTCAGGGATGAAGGTGGGCGGTACAACACGAGCAGTGGCGGCAACACAAAGCATACAGAAGGATAACCAATTGCAGGTGGTCATGTCAGGTGTGTGGAGGTGTTGGTAGAGTGAATCAAGCCAGGTGTGTTGAGGTGTGCACTGGGGAGGTAAACAAGGGGAGGTGTACCAGGGAGTGGTGGCGTCTCCCTGGATAGTCATATCTAAACTGGCAATTTGACAACCTCTCCCCACCACTTACTAATTCCTCTTTAAAACAACAACAACAACACCAACAACAACACCCAGGGCACCAGTCAGCTACGGGGGCATTTTCTTTCGTCCTCTCAACAAGTGGAACTTAAAATTCCATTTATATGCATCAAGTTAATCCCGCTCTGGGTTTATTGTCATTCACACGTTTGAATATGAAATTGCTTGGTGACAATACGAACAGGAAAAACATAAATGTATATTCTTAAGCTATTGTGGCGGGCGTTGTTGAGAAGCTTGAACACTTGTCTACCTGCTCCTACACACCTCACGATATTTACTTTAAATATGTTTGTATGCTTGGATGTAGAAGGTCTATATGTTTGTATGGATGTTGCTACATGTATATATGTGTATGCTGAAGATAAATAGTGCATAGGAGCGAAGGCTGTGAGCTGGACGATGGGAGTCTTACCTTGATAATGTAGTAAGGCGCCGAGAACACAACCCACACGCTACCTACCTGTGGGAGAGACAATCTTCAATATATCATCTAACTCCAACATGCCTTACTACTGACAAGTCTACAGTGTTAAAAGAGTGCACCAACCAGCTGATGATGGCTTCACCCACAATGATTAGCTGATGATGTTATAAACAAACACTTACCAAAAAAAGATGACATCAGAATTACATCAAAGAGCTGAGGAAGGTGTTAAAGCTACCACGTGCCAAGACCATCACCGCTCTGGAGCTTGGATAAACCAGCGTACCGCCTCAACTGAGTTCCTTTGATCTAGAACGGCACCTCAGAACACGCTCCATCGACTAATAAGATCTTGCTCTCAGGAATATGGACTACACCAGGTGCTGGGTTAAGGGGGGGGTCCGCCACCAACACGCCACCTTTATAAGTATTAATATAATATTTAAATAATAAAATATCAGTAGCAATTTAAGGTCTTCAGTGAAATAGCAGAACAATCGTAATTCTTACCAAGTTTTAATTACACACTCTGAACAGCGGTCGTCATCAAGCTGGGTGGTGTGGGAGGGGTTACCAGACCAAGTGATCAAGTATCTCAGGGTAAAACGGAGTAGGATTGCTTTTCAACATTACGTAAAAATATTCCTATGGTTAATCAAGTAAGCGATGAGGGAAACTTGACCGGCCAGGCTGCACTTACTTCCCCCTTTCTCATTCATTATACACTATATAAGTTATACGTATCTCTTATTTGTATATTTTCGGCTTATGGCAGCTGTATTTGTTAATAAACCGTGAGGTATAATAATAATAATAATAATAATAATAATAATAATAATAATAATAATAATAATAATAATAATAATAATAATAATAATAATAATAATAATAATAATAATAATAATAATAATAATAATAATAATAATAATAATAATAATATATAATAATAATAATAATAATAATAATAATAATAATAATAATAATAATAATAATAATAATAATAATAATAATAATAATAATAATAATAATAATAATAATAATAATAATAATAATAATAATAATAATAATAATAATAATAATAATAATAATAATAATAATAATAATAATAATAATAATAATAACACACACACACACACACACACACACACACAAAACAATAATAACACACACACACACACACACACACACACACACACAATAATAAAATAACAATAAATAATAACAATACCAATAATAATAATAACAATAATAATAAATAACAATAATAATAATACCACAATAATAATAATAACAATACCAACACACACACACACACACACACACACACACACACACACACACACACACACACACACACACACACACACACACACCACACACACACACATATTACATTATTATTATTATTATTATTATTATTATTATTATTATTATTATTATTATTATTATTATTATTATTTATGGGAAATACCAAAAATCCGAACAACTAAATGCAGGTTATTAAGTGTCAGTTAAGCAGTGCAAATAAAACCATCACCGATCACAGATAAATAATTATCATTACCTGCAGTAATATTAGTATCTAGGCAGGTAAAACAACACTAATGGTATGAATATCGTAGATGGTATATAAGCTGTGGCCATTATATCGTTGGCTGCACCATTAGTGAGAATGGGAGTAATATACAACCCAGGAATGTATGTTTATATTTCTAGGACAGGTACAGTATATCCCTTCTGGTGAACTGGAGTGTACAGCATACAGACTGAACCAACACTAGAACAGTTCAACCATGGTGTAAAATATGTATTAAGTTACTGAGGTTATTTCTCATACTCAAGACCTTTACGTGAGCTCTGTGGGTGTTCTTGCAGGCGGCGCGGGTGGTGCAGTCATCGCATTACGAGCTGGAGTACGTTCTTGGCCGCAAGATCATCTTCATCTGCACGGCGCGCGGCAACCCTCGACCCCGCATCACCTGGTACAAGGACGGCGTGGAGCTATACGCCCACAACTACTTCCAGGTACCGCGACCCTTCCTCCACACACTTGGTACTGTTACTGTCTCACCACCGGGTACCACAACCCTTCCTCCACACACCTGGTATTGTTACTGTCGTTACTGTCTCACCACGGGTACCACAACCCTTCCTCCACACTCCTGGTACTGTTACTGTCTCACCACCGGGTACCGCAACCCTTCCTCCACACACTTGGTACTGTTACTGTCTCACCACCAGGTACCACAACCCTTCCCTCCACACACCTGGTACTGTTACTGTCTCACCAATCAGTACCACAACCTTCCTTCTCCACACACCTGGCAATTGCTACTGGGTCCCACCACCAGGTACCACAACCCTTCCTCTCCACACACCTGGTACTGTTACTGTCTCACCACCAGGTACCACAACCCTTCCTCTCCACACACACCTGGTACTGTTACGTCTCACCACACCGGGTACCACAACCCTTCCTCCACACACCTGGTACTGTTACTGTCTCACCACTGGGTACCACAATCCTTCCTCCACACACCCTGGTACTGTTACTGTCCCCACCACTGGGTACCACAACCTTCCTCCACACACACCTGGTAATTGTTACTGTCTCACCACCAGGTACCCAGCCAACCTTCCCCTCCACACACCTGGTACTGCAGCATTGCCCCACCACCAGGTACCACAACCTCTTCCTTCCACACATTAACCTGGTACTGTTACTGTCTCCACCACCAGGTACCCGCCAACCCTTCCTCCACACACCTGGTACTGTTACTGTCCCACCCACCAGGTACCACAACCCTTCCTCTCCACACACCTGGTACTGTTACTGTCTCACCACCGGGTACCACAACCCTTCCTCCACACACCTGGTACTGTTACTGTCTCACCACCGGGTACCACAACCCTTCCTCCACACACTTGGTACTGTTACTGTCTCACCACCAGGTACCACAACCCTTCCTCCACACACCTGGTACTGTTACTGTCTCACCACCAGGTACCACAACCCTTCCTCCACACACTTGGTACTGTTACTGTCTCACCACCAGGTACCACAACCCTTCCTCCACACACCTGGTACTGTTACTGTCTCACCACCAGGTACCACAACCCTTCCTCCACACACCTGGTACTGTTACTGTCTCTGCCAGTGCCACAACCCTTCCTCCACACACACCTGGTACTGTACTGTCTCACATTTTGCCCTTCCCTCCACACACCTGGTGCTGTTGCCTTCCTGCAGGTGCCACAACCCTTCCTCCACACACCTGGTACTTTCAGTACTTGTCTCTGCAGGTGCCCTGGCCTTCCTCCACACACCTGGTACTGTTACTGTCTCTCACCACCAGGTACCACAGCTACTCCCTTTACACCTGGGTACTGTTACTGTTTCACCACCAGGTACCACAACCTTCCTCCCCACCCCCCTGGTACTGTTACTGTCTCCTGCAAGTACCACAACCCTTCCTCCACACACACCTGGGACATTACTGTCTCACCACCGTGCCACAACCCATTCCTCACAGTTGCATCTGCATTTCCCTAACCCCTTCCTCCCAGGCGTGCGTGCACCGGTTTGCCCTTCCTCCACACCTGGTACTGTTACTGTCTCACCACCAGGTACCTGGCCAACGCCACTCCACACACCTGGTGCTGTTACTGTCTCACCACCAGGTACCACAACCAGCCTTCACCACACACATTGCTGTTGCTGTCTCACCACCGGGTGCCACAACCCTTCATCCACACCTGGTGCTGTTACTGTCACCACCGGGTATCACAACCCTTCATCCACACACCTGGTACTGTTGCTGTCTCACCACCAGGTACCACAATATCATCCACACACCTGGTACTGTTACTGTCTCACCACCAGGTACCACAACCCTTCATCCACACACCTGGTACTGTTACTGTCTCACCACCAGGTACCACAACCCTTCATCCACACACCTGGTTTTATTAATTACCTGCAAGTTGGTGCACCATTCATCCCTCCCATCTAAGAAGACACCCATTCCAACTGTCCCTCTCCCCTCTCATCCTTCCCACGACGAGAGACATGAGGGCCGGCATCCAACGCCTTAACTACACCATACATTAATAACTTCAGTAATCTGCCTCACCACTCCTGTTATATAACGGGACAAGTAATATGTTCATTATCATAGTATTCCATTACTCAAACTTCCAACTCATTATTCTAGTCGCTATTTTTTGCAGCCCCGAGTGAATTTTACGAGCTCAATTTAACTCCACTATACCGCATGTTAGTTTTATAATGCTGCATTGAATGAAAATCTTGAATTTTAATGCATTTAATGATGAAAGTTAATAGACCAGTTCAGGCTATCTAATAATGATACCCTTTCTTTAGCTTTAAAGTGTGTGAGTGTGTGTTTAAAACACACACACACACACACACACACACACACACACACACACACACACACACACCTATAGTTGGATCGTTAACGAGGTTGGATTTCGACATCATCAACATCAGTTATGTTGAAATTATTAAACGACAATCGACCATACAGGAGCCTGTGAGCTGCACAACACGGTGAGCCAACCACCTGCTCTCTCCACCACTCTTAACTCACTGTCAAGTTATAACACAACAAACAGACCAACAGCTACGTCACGAAGGTAACAACACAAACAATGCGGGATCCTCAGGTTGAGTTGTTGTGTTGGCGGTTAAGGTGTGGGCTGCGGTAGTGTCTGGTGCTAACAGGTGTGGGCTGCGGTAGTGTCTGGTGCTAACAGGTGTGGGCTGCGGTAGTGTCTGGTGCTAACAGGTGTGATGATGTGTGATCACGGCATCGTGGGTTATCAGGTGTGTTGAGGCGGGTGTGCTACTGTACCAAACACTCGCTGGGTGTCTTCCCATCTCATTCTCTCATCCTGTACACCATCAGCTCAGCCGTAATTTGTGACAACAACTATACAGTAATACTGTACGTCTTTTCATTAAGACAATAAGGCAGCTGCAGTAACATCTTCACAGCCCTTCACGTGTACATTACACCACCAGATATGTATTTCACAAGTTGGCTCAGTGTTTGTCCTCCAACTTCAATCGCTGTCAAATTCATTTAAAATATTAATCGAGAGTCGGAGGGAGACGCGAAAAAATAGTTGTGGGTCCCTCTATCGGTTGGTGATGGAGGAGAGATGGCAGGGAAGGGAGGGTAAGAGGTGAGGAGGGATGGGGCAGGGCTGCCTGGAACGCCAGATATACAGAGCCTTCAGCAGCTCCCCTCCCAACCAGCCAGATTTACTTGACCCAACAAACACCTTGCCTCATACTGCACACTACTACACCCTACATACACACACACACACCCTTACTCATGCTACACTACTACACCCTACATACACACACACCACTGCCTGCTACACCACCACCCGACACATACACACACACACACACACACCCTGCCTCATACTGATCCACTACACCCCTATCACACACCCTGCCCCATACTGCTACACCACTACACCCTATCCACACACACACACCTCCATGCTGCTACCACTACACCCGACACACACCGCCTCATGCTACAAACTACGCTATTCACACTACACCCTGCACTCATGCTGCTGCACCAATGCACCTAAACGCACCCCTGCCTCATTGCTGCACTACACCCTATTCACACACACCGCCTCATACTGCTACATCACTACACCCCTATTCACACACACCCCTTGCACTCATACTGCTACACCACTACACCCTATTCACACACACCCTGCCTCATGCACACTGCCACTACACACCCTATACACACACACACCCTACCTCATGCCCGCATCACTGCCCTGTTACACACACCCTGCCTCATGCTGCTACATCACTGCACCCTATTCACACACACACCCCCTGCCTCATGCTGCTACACTCACTACACCCTATTCACACACACACCCTCATCATGCTGTACACCACTACACCTATACACACACACCCTACCTCATGCTGCTACACTACTACACCCTATACACACACACACACCACTCATGCTGCCTACACCCACACACACCCTCCTCATGCTGCTGCACTACACACCCTATACACACACACACACACACACCCCTGCCTCATGCTGCTGCACACCTATGCACACACACACACACACACACTCATGCTGCTCACACACCTATACACACACACACACCCCTGCCTCATGCTGCTACACCACTACACCCTATACACACACACACCCTGCCTCATGCTGCTCACACACCCTATGCACACACACACACACCCTACCTCATGCTGCTACACTCACTACACCCTATGAACACACACACGCCCGCCATCATGCTAACCGTCACTGCCCTATACACACACACCTGCATCATGCTGCTACTGCACCTACACACACACGCATCATGCTGCCCTACACCCTATGACACACCCTATGCACACACACACACCCTGCCTCATGCTGCTACACTACTACACCCTATGCACACACACACACACCCTACCTCATACTGCACCCTATACACACACACACACACACACCCTGCTATCATGCTACTGCTACACCTATACACACACACACACCCCTGCCTCATGCGCTGCACACTACACACCCTATACACACACACACACGCCCTATCATGCTGCTGCACTGCACCCTATGCACACACACACACCTGCCTCATGCTGCTACACTCTGCACCCTATGCACACACACACACCCTTATCATGCTGCTGCACTTCTGCACCCTATGCACACACACACACCCACTCATGCTGCTACTACGCCCTGCACCCTCATGCTGCTCACACTCTGCACCCTATACACACACACACCTGCCTCATGCTGCTACACCACTACACCCTATACACACACACCCTCACTCCATGCTGCTACACTACTACACCCTATACACACACACACCCTGCCTCATGCTGCTACACACTACACCCTATACACACACACACACACCCTGCCTCATGCTGCTGCACCCTATACACACACACACACCCTGCCTCATGCTGCTACACTACTACACCCTATACACACACACACACCCTGCCTCATGCTGCACTGCACCTATGCACACACACACATCATGCTGCTACTGCACCCTATACACACACACACACACACCCTACCATCATACCTTACTACACCCTATACACACACACACACACCCTACCTCATGCTGCTGCACTACTACACCCTATACACACACACACACACACCCCTGTGCTGCCTCACGCACCCATACACACACACCCCGCCTCATGCCAGCTCACTACTGCACCCTATGCACACACACACCCCTGCCTCATGCTGCTGCCACTACACCCTATACACACACACACCTGCATCATCCCACTACTACCCTACACACACCCTACCTCATGCTGCTGCACTACTACACCCTATACCACACACACACACACCGCCTCATACTGCTACTACTACACCCTATACACACACACACCCTGCCTCATACTGCTACACTACTACCCTATACACACACGCAACCCTGCCTCATACTGCCACTACTACACCCTATACACACACACACACACACACCCTGCCTCCATACTGCTACACCACTACACACCCTATACACACACACACCTACCTCATACTGCTACACACCCTATTCACACACACCCTGCTCTGCACTACACCCCTATACACACACACACCCCTACCTCATACTGCTACATCACTACCCCTATTCACACACACACACCCCTGCACCTCATACTGCTGCTACTACACCCTATACACACAACACCCTACCTCATGCTGCTACTACTACACCTATACACACACACACCCTGCCACCATACTGCTACCACCCTATACACACACACCTACCTCATGCTGCTACTACTACACCCTATACACACACACACACCTGCCTCATACTGCTACACCCCATCATGCCTGCACTGCTACACCCTATTCACACACACCCTGCCTCATACTGCTACACCACTGCACCCTATACACACACACACCCTCTCATGCTGCTACACCCTATTCACACACACACCCCTGCCTCATGCTGCTACCACCACCTATACACACACACACACACCCCTCATGCTGCCTGCTACCACCCTATCACACACACACACACCCCTGCCTCATGCCTGCTTGCACACCCTATACACACACACACCCTCATGCACACCTATACACACACACACACACCCTGCATCATACTGCTACACTACTACACTATACACACACACACCTGCCTCATGCCTGCTACTACACACACACACCTACCTCATGCTGCTACCTACTACACCCCTACACACACACCTGCCTCATACTGCTACACTACTACACCCTATACACACACACACCCTGCCTCATGCTGCTCCACTACTACACCCTATACACACACACTACCTCATGCTGCTACACTACTACGCCCTATACACACACACCTCATACTGCTGCTTACTACACCCTATACACACACACACACCCTACCTCATGCTGCTACACTACTACACCCATCGCCCTGCCTCATACTGCTACACCTATTCACACACACACCCTGCCTCATGCTGCTACACTACTACACCTATACACACACACACACCCTACCTCATGCTGCTACACTACTGCACCCTATACACACACCCCTACCTCATACTGCTACACTACACCCTATGCACACACACACCCCTGCCTCATGCTGCTACACTACACCCTATACACACACACACACACACACCCCTTCCTCATGCTACACCCTATTCACACACACACCCTGCCTCATGCTGCTGCACCCTACACCCCCACACCCTGCCTCATACTGCACATCACTACACCCGACACACCTGCCTCATACTGCTACACCTACACCCCCACACCCTGCCTCATGCCTCACTACATCCTACACCGACACACCTGCCTCATACCTCCACCACTACACCCTACACACACACACACCTGCCTCATACTGCAACACCACACCCCACACACTCTGCCACATACTGCAACGACCACCCCCACACCATGCCTCATGCAGTGCACCACTACACCCCACACCCTGCCTCATGCTGCTACACCACACACCCTACACACACACACACCCTGCCTCATACTGCAACACGACCACCCCCACACACACACTCTGCCACATACTGCAACAGACCACACCCCACACACACCATGCCTCATACGATACACCCCCCACACACCCTGCCTCATACTGCTACACCACTACACCCTACACACACACACACCCTGCCTCATACTGCAACACGACCACACCCCCACACACACCCCCTCCCCCACACATACACATTTGTACAACAATTTGTATTGACCTTATAAGCGCGTGTAGGAATGAGTGAGAATCCATGAAATACCCGACAGCTCGAGAACACCACCGGTCAGAAGTGTTTAAGATATCAACACTACTCTGAGAGAGGACGGGGCTTCCCG